GGGGTAATAATATAGATAACTTAGGTAGAGTGGAGTAATAATATAGATAACTTAGGTAAAGTGGAGTAATAATATAGGTAACTTAGGTAAAGTGGGTAATAATATAGATAACTTAGGTAAAGTGGGGGTAATAATATAAATTATTACACCACTTTACCTAAGTTACCTGTAATATTACACCACTCTACCTAAGTTATATATATTATTACCCCACTTTACCTAAATTACCTATATTATTACTCCACTTTACCTAAGTTATATATATTACTAACCTACTTTACCTAAGTTACCCATAATATTACACCACTCTACTTAAGTTACCTATATTATTACCCCCACTTTACCTAAGTTATCTATATTATTACACCACTTTACCTAAGTTACCTGTAATATTACACCACTCTACCTAAGTTATATATATTATTACCCCACTTTACCTAAGTTATGATATATATAACTTAGGTAATGTGGGATAATAGTATAGATAACTTAGGTAAAGTGGGTAATAATATAGATAACTCAGGTAGAGTGGGATAATAGTATAGATAACTTAGGTAAAGTGGGATAATAGTATAGATAACTTAGGTAAAGTGGGATAATAGTATAGATAACTCAGGTAAAGTGGGATAATAATACAGATAAGTTAGGTAAAGTGGGGTAATAATATAGGTAAGCTGAGTGGATCACAGCACTATGTAATAACATAGGTAAGTTAGGTAGAGTGGATGCATAACAAAAGCCATCAATGTTAAACAGTTACCTATTTTTCCAGTGCTGTTCCAAAACCTTTAACTCACCTGTTTCTCTAGTGCCGAACTAGAACTTCGGCTACGTGGAACTGACCTTGAATCTTCTTTTTCAGTAACATGTGAAGATTCTGTCTTTGTGTCTGTAGTTTTTGTCTGGATGCTTGGTTCATCACCAACTGGAGAGTGGCGAAGAACAGGGGGTGAAGAACGTCGTTCCGACTGTCCACGACTGTGGCTAAAAGTATCACCTATAAAACCTCGATCCAAGTCACTAGAATATTCATTCTCTCTAAGAGCTAGTACCAGCTGACGAAAGAGCTCCCAGTCTCCAAAACTCATCCTTAATACTCTCTTAAGTTCAGATAGATCACATGTTAGTAAAACAAGTCCATTGATGTTGTTCTCTGACAGCTGTTCTTTATAAGTACAAAGTTTTTTGTCATCTACTCCTTCCAAAGAGTCTAGTAAAGAAATTATTCCATCCACAGATAAAGTACTGAGTCTCTGGTTCTTGAAGACTTGCTCCTAGTAAATATCCAGAGAATTAGTGTGCTTTTAGAATATATAAAAACTTCAAGTTCACTTTAAAATAACTGTGTATCAAGTTTTTCTAAAGATGATATCTTTCACTACTTTATTCAAGTAGTTTGTTAAACAGCATTAAACACGCGTTCGGTTCCTTATAAATAAGGATTACAAACTTAAACATCTTTAAAGTGATACATTCATAAGCCATATCTGTATAAAACAAAACAGTGTCTCAAATTGTTGCCTAGATCATGAAAGTTGATAAAATACTTTAAAAAGATATGGTTGTTTTTTGAACACAGCAATTCATATCTTGCATAAAATTGAAAGGTAAAACCATTTTCATCGCATACACCATTGTAATCAGAGTTAGTTACAAGATCTTATCCAGACAGAACATTTCTTCCATAAACGACTCCAAAAAATTATTGAATATTGGTGGATCATGTCTTTCAATGTCCATCTCTTGTTATATTCTAACGTTGCTGTTTTTGTGTCAGAACAAGTTCAGCTTTAAATGAGTTCTAGATGCCACAGAAAGCTTTGTGTTCATATAATACATGTACTTTAGTATTTTTATGTCTTTGGCACTCATCCTTGTATACAAACTTTTTTCATACATGCTATATTGTAGTAACTGTAACAGGAGAAAAAAATCCCCCAAAATATGTCATTTAGAAATGGATTTTAAAGAAGAGAAAAACATGTTCTGTTAAAAATATGAAAATTAAAATAACAACAAATGCCAAGTGAACTGCTTGCACAAAGTTTTATGAGGAAAGCTTTCAAATAATCTGCTGTGGTGAATCTATATTTAAAGTATATATTTTTATATCTTGTCAGGATAGAACTTGGCATGCTGAACATCTGCAGATAACCTAGAAAAACGAAAATTTCAATAACTTTTTTAGGATTAATATGTAGTTTGTTAGTATAATGCGATAGGTTATTTAAGTTTATTCATAACACCTTTGTATTCAAATGCTTCTTTAGTTACCTTGACGATGCTTGATTCTTTAAAAGTACTCCTCACAGCATCATGTGTTCTCAAAAAGTTTTTGTAATTCTGCTTCTTGCAGAGGATGTGTTTAAACTGCACATTCAGATGGTAAAAGATAACCTTGAAGGCATTTTTAATGACCAGTTTAGGCTCATCGCTTGCAGAAAACTCGAGGGTTATTGAAAACATTAATTTTTTATTCGATAACTTAATTTTCATTCAATATTATGTTTGCTCTTACTTTAGTAAGAACATTATCAGTGTTATAAAAAAAACCTTTTATGTATGTCTTATAAAAATTTAGACTTATTACATGAAAAATTGAAGACACTTATAGTGCAGTATGAAAAACCACATTTTATGTGCCAAGAGGTACACTGTAGACAAGGGTGATAGAAGTTAGATGAAACATTGTGAGAAAACATTTCAAAATATGACAAAAATACGAATTTTCTATAGCAGTACCTTACCCACATCTAGCAAATGTAAATTAAATGTTATACTGGTATATGTAACAGATCGACGTTGAATGGAAGTGTCAATATGGTGAACATGTGGAACTCAAGGTAAAACAAATACTTGCTATCTAATGACTGAAACTGTAAATTAATTTCTTACCCAGTTTCTAATGTTAGTTTTCACTGGTATAATTGATTCAGGGAGAGTATGTGTTTGAGGTAGCCCCAACTGCCAACAAGACGGCTTTTCACGAAACAATGACGAGGTGGAATACTCACTGTTGGAGGCTGCAGCTCCAACAGGGGCACCCCTCATAGTCAAAAGCTGTCCTTCAATTACACTGAAATCTTTAGAAGGTCGTGAAAGTGATGGAGTAGGCCACATAGAAGGAGGAAAGACCTGAAAGACTGACGAGTTGTGGGTATGGTGGCCACGTGGAACGAGCTGGCCTTCCAAGCGAGTGATGTCACCAAGATTTAGGTGTTCTTCTGTGTTAAACAAAGAAAGTCTTAATAAAAATATATTCACTTTAAGAATTTTCAATTAAATTTGATTATTTTAATTAAATAATACTTATTTTAAGTTATGTGAAAAAAAGTATCTGCAGGCTAATAAATTCTTCTTAACAAAAACCATTGAAATAAATTAAATTCATAATCCAAAAATCTGTACTTTGCTAAATAAACAGAAATCTTGCATTGGTGATTAATTTCACCCATAGGTGCTAAAATGTACTGTTTTTTTACATTAGAAACACTATAAAAAATACAGTAATGAAAACAAATACGGCCAAGAGGACAAAATTTTTTTTATTTACATTCTCTAAACCTCGTTTGTCTTTATTAGTAGACTTCGTTTTCCCCTTATCTCCCCTCACAAATCTATTGCCAATACTATAAGATTAATGAAGAAAAATATGGTTCAAAGGATGATAAAATTTTATTTGCATCCTCTTCTTTAAAAAACTTCATTTTATCCCTCATAAATCTACAATACCATAAGTACTTTTCAAAAAACTATCAAGCTATCATTTTAACTGCTACACATTATATGTTGAAGTAATTTTTACCCTTGAAACACCACTTGTTTACTAAGTATAAATTATATTTCATACCTTGTATTTTCTTTCGTATGTATGGGTCTAAGTTGATGGTGAAGGGAAGAAAGATTTTTAATCCCCCAACTAGTAAGTTAGAAGTATGAAATGATAAAACAACTTCAAATTTTCGTTCATCGTGGTCAAAATCCAGCATTGGATCAACTTCTTTCGACACAGGAATGTAAGGTTTAACTCTGTGTGTTATATCAAAATACAAATGAAAAGTATAAATTACCAATACAAGAAACATGAACTTTATAACAACATGTTAAACTAAAGAAGACATTACTATAGAGTTATAAGTAGAAATCCACACCTGAAAGGAGAGTTTAGGTTTTGTTTTACTATATAATGGTCATCTTGTGTGGAACAAGCTACATATACTTGCATCAATAACTTAAGATGCTTTTAACCCTATGCAAATGAGTTTTGTCAGTTTGACCAGCCTTGTAACCACCATCTAACTGTGAAACTATACATACTATAACTCTGAATGTACTATGTTTATCTTCACAATACTTGGCAAGCTTTTAGTAAATACTGAAATTCTATTGCACTCAAAAAATCACCTTTACTTAAGATTTGTCTGTGAATTTATGGAGTCTTTACTGAGTCAGTTGAAGTGAAAGGTGATTCTTCATACTAAGAATAAATATACTCATTTTCATCTTACATATTTCATCTGTACAACTTCTAGAACCTCTTAGATTAAAAGTGGTTTGGTAAAACTGTTTACTTTATCTCCTTTCTCTGCCCTAACACTAGCAAAGTCTTCAATGTAAAGCAAAATTAAAAGCTGAAAAATATGAAATGAAATAAAAGCAGGGTTGGCTCAAGGTGGATTTGAAGAGCTCAAAGAACCCAATGCAAAACTTTAGGGGCACAAAAGTTGTAAAAATCAAGAAAAAATACTAACAAATAAAGAGAAAAAGGATATTTGTTGTGAAAGTTTGAGTTCAGAACCTAAGTTTATATCACATCAAAAACCAGAAAATTCAACTCCAGATAAATTCTTATTTTATGTATGTGAAAAACAAAGGAAAAGTTTCAAGTAGATTTGTTGCTCTAGGAATTTCATTAACTCCGCCTGTTAGTGTGACAAATGGTGTAAGATTGTTTCTGAGACTAAATTTTATAAAAATATTTTTGCATTCCATAATGGGATTAGAGAAATTAAATGGTTTACCAATAATTTCTGTAGAAAATGCAATGGCCAAGGAAAGTTTTACCATGTTCGAACCTTATAAAGTTCCATTTTCTAAAGACTAATCTTTATTTTATATGTATTTTTCTATTACGTACCATTTTTTCTACTCTGTATTCTGAATTTAAAAAAATCATTTAAATTTTTGTAAAGTACAGAAAAATAAAGCTATCAAAATCTGAAAAAGGGGCACAATTTTTTATTTTCACGCCCTTCAATTTTTGAACTTGTGCTGGCACTGCTTGTATATTCAATACACATCAATGTAGATTAGAAATTACACCACAGCTACGAATAGAGGAGGAGCCTAGATTGTAGGTTGGACAAGTTTATTTATATTCTAGCAAATTGAAAAATAGGAGGTTCTTGTTCTATTTTACAGATAGCTAACATGTATAGTTTGTGTTTATAATTGATTGGACAGTCTCAAAGGGATGACAAAATATAGAAAGGATAAATTAGAGTGCTATCTATACTTGAGTATAGTGAATATTGATAATTTATTTAAATATTTCCTTTTGAAATTAAAAAATTAAACTTAGATAATATAAACATTTGAATTATAACTTAGTTTAGATGCAAAGTTTGACATAAATTGATAATAAAATTGTTCAATCAAATTTTGAATATAACTCTATGAAAAAAAGATCACGACATGTACACTTTGACCTATCTGTGTGCATAGGGTTAAGATCTTACTGGTCTGGAAGAAATATCCTCGAACTCAGATGCATCTTATCACTTAATAACTTCCAATCAGAGTAAGCTTTGTACTTAGATTGAACCAAAGATTAACCTGGCCATCAGTATAGCTAATTAAAAGAGACTTTATAAAGTTAGAATTTAATGTTTCATCATTTCATGATAGTTTCTGACACAAAACCAGTAATATCTCATGAGATTCTGTTGATTTAAGAGAGTTATGTTGGTCCTAAATACAAAGTCTAAGCTAACAATGCAAAATCAATCTTTATAATACAAGTTTAACAGTTATACCAACAAATTAAAATAAAATAAACATAATTATATTCAATAGTAAGCATCATACCAATATAATTAAATATAAATAAAAGGCCATACTTGTGTGGAACAAACTCGTCACACCCGAATTTCATTACTACACCTTGCTATGAAGTAGATATAATATCTTAGAGATATTTATAGGAATTATTAAAACAAAATCACTTTTTGAATACTTCACAAAAATCATTATGATAGCAATACCTGACTTATGACCCTTATACCAAAACCTAATCAAATGTTGCCTTGGGAGGCCCTCAGTCTTTTCACTAAATAATATTAGTTTGGGTCTATCACACTGATTTTTGAGAAGCAATGGTTACACACACACATACGTAAGTGCTGTTTAAAACAATAACAGAAACTGCAACATATGTTGCATGTACAAAATACTTAAGCAAACATCAATTCTCTCTCATGAAAAAACAAATAGAATTTTCAACAAAAGTATTCTCAAGTCAAAGCTTATTTTAATGCAAGTGTTTTCAGTACAGAGGCAGTATTACAATAGCTATAAAAACACACACACACAGAAAGTCCATACTTCTCGTATATCGCCTTCAGTGAAGAGTTATCTTCCAGCTCTGATTCGTGTGCTTCATAATATAATATAATCCACGAAGTTCGATACGGCCATTGTTCCGTGATGTTGATCCAAGAAGCTAAATGATACCAGTTAAAGTCGATGTTAAAGGCCTTCAGAAGCCTGCCTATCAAAGCAAGTGTAAACATTTTAGTATAACTTCTCAGAAGATAAACATTTCACAAAAAAAAATGTAAAACTTATCACTACAATTATTCTTAGGTAACGTATCACACAACAAACTTAAGTTTCTACCAACCTTGATGCAAAATGGCGTCAAAACAAACTTAAGCTTTCTACCAACCCTTGATGCAAAATGGCTTCAAAACAAACTTAAGCTTTCTACCAATCCTTGATGCAAAATGGCTTCAAAACAAACTTAAGCTTTCTACCAACCCTTGATGCAAAATGGCTTCAAAACAAACTTAAGCTTTCTACCAACCCTTGATGCAAAATGGCTTCAAATTTGAAATAAAGAACTGTATCTTTCCTACATTTTCAGTATAAACAAATCATTATTTTCCTAACATTTCATTTTCTACTATCAACAGAGGCCAAAATGTCATATTCTTTTTCTCTGACTTAATCTTATGACAGATCGCCGAAGAAACATTCACTAAGAAGCACCGAATCTGTCTAACTTTAAGTTTTTACCAAGTATTAAACTTAATTTCAAAATTTTTGCAGTAGTAATTCTTTAGAAGTATAACTCTGTTAAATTTGAACACACTCCCACTACATGTGATTATATATGTAGTTCTACTGTTTCTATGATTTCTTATTAGTCCTAGAATATATTCTATCCAGAAACTGAGTATAAACAATCAACAAAACACCTTACCAGTAATATACACAATGCTCATAAGTCTTCTGACCACCAACAAAACACCTTACAAGTACTATACACAATGTTCATAAGTCTTCTGATCATCAACAAAACACCTTACCAGTAATATACACAATGTTCATAAGTCTTCTGATCACCAACAAAACACCTTACCAGTAATATACACAATGTTCATAAGTCTTCTCATCAACAAAACACCTTACCAGTAATATTAAAATGTTAATAAGTCTTCTGACCACCAACAAAACACCTTACCAGTAATATACACAATGTTCATAAGTCTTCTGACCACCAACAAAACACCTTACCAGTAATATACACAATGTTCATAAGTCTTCTGACCACCAACAAAACACCTTACC